GTCGGTTCAGCCAATAATCGAGAAACGCCCCGTAGCTCGAAAACGGTAACAGATAGAGAGAGATGCGGTTTGTGCCATTAGAAAAAAAAAAACTCTGAACTCGTCTATCAAATTTGCTCTATCTGTGACAGATTCGCAGTAGCCCTTGAAAACCGACCGATTTGAATCACCCTGTACAGTGTACTCTTGTGTTTTTATTTTCAAGTTTCTGTGTGACATTATGAAAAAGCTTATTAACTTATTCGGAAAATTAATTTCGTTACAATTTACATTTTTTATTTTAACTCGTTTAAATCTAAGAACAAACAAATTTAAATTTATTGTTTTATGTTATGTTACCTTCCATTGTTACTTTTTATTATATTCCGACACTGATGGGAATTTAATTTTAAATTAATTTGCAAAATTATTTAGGGGCTGCGTGGGTTAATTCATTTTACATATATTATAAATATAAGTTCAAAAAAAAGTCTTCAAACGCATAGCATTATCACAGAAAACATGTATTACTACTTTATATACGTTTTATGCGCATATTTCCTCAGGAATACCGCACTGGGTAAAACAATATTTCTTTCTAATTTCTGCATTATTTGCGATTATAAATATTAACAATTTGTTATCATTGTAGGCAATTCAGACGCTACCGAAACCTGGAAGAATGAAGAGAACTGCGGTACAACGATGTACGACGACGATAACGACAACGGCACCTTGGAACTAGGAAAAGGAGAAAAATACATTGGCAAGCCCGGGATGGCCCCATGGATAGCTAGGCTTGGGGTTAGTGATGGGCATAATCGACCAATTTTGATAATCGAGTTATCGGTAATCGAGTACTTCTAATAATCGAGTGATCACTCGAGATACGAGATATTGGTCGTTTTCATCTTCATCCCAGCGGCGCACAAATATGTTTGTATTAGTCATATATTACTTATAAGCGTAGCTAAAAAAAAAAGCTCACGCACTTCAAAACCTAACCACTTTTTCGTTTTATTCTAAAAAAAAAGGTTACGCAATCAGTGACTATTTGCAGTATGCACTAACATTTTGGGGTGCAACCGTAGGCTAATAATCACTCGAGTGGTGGGAGTAAACATCTCGAGATATCTCGAGTGATCTCAATAATCGAGTACCACTCGATTTTTCACTCGAAATCTCCCATCACTACTTGGGGTGGTCAACGTCGACACCCAAGAACTATTCTTCCACTCCACTGTGAAGGGTCTCTGATTAGCAGGCAAATTGTGATATCATCGGCTCACTGCGGTACTGCTAACCAAGTGTAAATGATAAATCCACCATTAATTGTAAGTAACACGAATTTAAATGTATCTTTTTAGGGCGAGGTTAGGAGAGAACAACATAGACGAAAACGTTGATTGCAAAGTATCTGTATGTCCTCCACCCTCTCAGGATATCAAGATACGGACTCAGCTTCCCGGTAATCGTTACAACAAGACCAACAGACATGATATATTAGTAATAAATCTGGAAGCACCAGTGGAGTACAATGGTAATTATTGATCTTGACATCAGCACTGTAGATTGTCGAACTATACTGTAAAAAATATAATTTAAGACCTGATTCTATTCGCGAAATTATGGCATACAAAGTAAATCAAATTTATTTAAAGTCGAATTGGATCATAAAACCTGAAAACTTTAAAAAATTATCATCTTTTTTTGATTTGTTCAATTCAGGGCTCAAGCGATTATTCTACTGTTTCAGATTTTGTTCGACCCATTTGTGTTCCTGGAGCAGCGCTGCCAATTAAAGGGCGTATGATTATACCAGGATTCGGTGTGTCACATATGGAAACTAGGGACGACCAAAAGAATGTATTTGTATCTGAAAAAAATTTAACGTTTGTCGAGGCTCGAATTTTAAAGAAACAATAATGCGACGCAGTATACGCCCAGCAGCTGGATGAGGGCCAGTTATGCGTGGGGTATTCGAAAGAAGGTAGGCAACTCTTTCAAAATCATCGGCTACAATCAAATTTTGTTAAAGTTAATGTCGACGTGTGACCTTTTTTCAGTTAAGGCGCCCTGCGTAGGATCTCCAGGGGGGCCCTTGATCGTGTGCGAAAAGGAGAATGGGGAGAAGCGGGCATATCTGATGGGCGTCGCTTCTTACGATCTACAGACGTGCGAATTGGGCGGAATTCGTCCAGTTCCTTACTTTATCTTTTCTTTGCTTGCTACTGCAATCACTGTTGCGGCAATAAAAATAGGTGCGGCAGTTTCATAACAGAAGGAAAAAAGGAAAAAGAAAAAATTAAATGAACAAAAAACAAAATGAATATAAAAATAGAATTGAAAGATGTTATATTCCTTTAATGAATAAAGGGTAAAGGAGAAATTCGTCTCTTGTCTCCGTTACACACAAATACATTTGTGTAAATATTTTTATTGTTAATCTCCGCTAATTTTCGTCTTATCAAGACGTTTTTTTTTCATTTTGTAGGTAATTATCTGTACTTTGAGAAAAAATCTATGCGAAATGGATGCGAGTAATTACCACATCTCCATATCCTGACAAAGTCCAAGCATTTTTTTTTAAATTTGATTGCTTCACGAGTGACCTGGATAGCCCCGATTTTTTTCGGAAATAGCACATAGACCATTGTAAAGTGCACTTTCTAACAAGCTATTTAAGAAAACAACCAAGCATCGACTATATATGCCATTTTAAAGCTCTTAACGAATGCTACCAGCATCAGCATTACCCAAAACGTATCGCGAGGAGGTTGCGTTATGCGCATTGGAAAAATGTCTAAATTTCGATGAAAAATATTGTTGAGATAATTTTGTTGCCTATACAGTTATAATGTCGTTGTTTAATAATAGTATATTACGTAATAAGTGTTGTAAAAAGCATTTTACGCACGAATAGAAAAGCTACGCACGACGCCGCGTAGTATTTAAAGTAGTGGTCGTAGGTAAAGTATAGTACGTAATACGTGGTGTAATGCAATTACGCACTCATAGAATTACGCACTCGCCGCTACGCGGCGTCGTGCGTAACTTTTCCATTCGTGCCTAAAATGCTTTTTACAACACTTATTACGTAATATACTATTACAGTAGTGGTCGTAGGTAAAAATATTAATTTATTTTTTATTAAAAAAAAAATACACATCCAACAGGCGATGCTCAATAATAGGTTATGTAAAGTCTATTAATAAATTATGATAAAAATAAAAAGATAGAAAAGGGAAAGGAATTAAATATAAAACATAGAAACTTTAATATGTTTAAAACATATATTATGGAGAACCTTATATAAAAACACAACGTGGGAAAAAGAGATCTTCTTTTAGACAGGACATGAATGTTGAAACGCTCAAGTAATAAATCCTGTGGAAAACCCTGAGGGATATATAGATACCATACGATCTGGTAAGTATACGGATAGTTTCAGAAAACTCAGTTGCACTATTTGATTAGCATAAATTGTGTACTGTTAATGAAAGACCCTTTTTATTTCTGGACTGTATTTTTTATGTAATCAGGTATAAACAACTTCTGTGAAGTAATTTGATAGGCTTATAGGAGGCGCAGTTCGTAGGTCCTTTTTTTGATATCGGACCCGAAACCGTACTAATTTCATATGACGGTAAACGACTACTAAAGAACTACTGACGCATATTCTAATTTAGAACAAATAAGAGTAATGTATAGTAATCGCAATGTAGAAATATTGACAAAGTCTTTGGATTTCCTTATTATGAAACCCATATTCTTGAATGCAGATGGCAATTATGTCGACATGTTTCGCAAAAGATGACGTCTGAAATGTAACTCCAAAGCCATTTATGCAATGGTGTATTAATTAGTTTATTAATAAGAAATGAGTTTAATAACGTAACTGATTTCATTTAACTTTTTATTAACCCAATTATTATTTTTTAACTTTATACATGGTGTTTGGAAAAGTTGGTACAAAATTTAAGGGGGTGAAAGTAAAGCCAAAAATAGTAAAAAAGTTCTTCTAAACATTGGTCCTCCGGAGCACCGTTACCGAGATGTGGCCCTCCAAATGGGTCTTATCATTTGGATATTTTTTAAAATACCTAACTGTCTTTCGGATTAAGATAACGGAATGAAAATTGTAGGTAATACCAAAAGGGTCTTTAACTGCTATAAGTTTCATCAACATCGGTTATAAATAAGGATCCTGAAGATATCCTTAGCACAAATTTGTACTATTTGGGTAACACTTAAATATAACACCGATAGTACTGAAAAATCCATGATAACAATGAAGAGAAAATCAATTTTTATCCCATAACGTTTAAGGTGGCCTCCCTGTGATACTTACACCAACGTGGTTTCCAGTTTGAAAAATACTTGTGCAATGCCTCTTTAGGTATCGTCTTCAGCACGATTTGCGATTTTGCCATTATCTCATCTACTGTTAAAAAACGGTGTCCTTTGATTATCCCCTTGAGTTTGGGAAATGTTTACTTATTTTTGACGTTTTAATGATTTATTCACTTATTTCAATCAATTTTTTTTCGGAAAGTAAAGCTGCAATATAGATTTAATTTAAGAGAAGTATGTTTTTAATACAGATATAAAATATTCATAAATCAAGGACTGATTATTCTTCCTTACAATTATAACTTTTTATTATAGATTAAGATTGCACTTTTTTTCTCATTGTAAGCGTTTTGATTCCGCAGTATGAAAGAGTGATGGTAACTGAAAAAAATATTCTACTTCTGTTTTTTCATTGGATATGAGATTTATTGTCGTTTAAGTACTTTTTGTATCGTTGTTTTAGTTGCAGTTGCCAATTCTCCTTGTGGTTATACCAGATTGATCCCCATCAATATGTGGAATAATATGTTCTTCTACCTGCAGGAGAATTTGTCTTTGTGTTCCTCCTTTAGGAACAAAACAAATTATTTTTCAATAAAAGTAGTGAAAACAAGCAAAAGATACGATAACTACAATTTTTAGTCAATTGGAGATCTACGATAATATTAGTGGATAAAAAATATTTTATTTTCGACTTGTTGTCAATAACAATAAATCTTTTTGTTATAAGTGACTGAAAGTAAAATCCAATTGTATAGTTTCTTCATTCCAAGTCATTGTTCTTGTTGTTTAGTAAATGTAAGGAAAACCTAAAAAAAAAACGATATTATTATTCAATAGGTCCCCGGTTAAAATAGAAATAATTGGATAGCCTCTTTTTCTTCTACGAAACTATAATTGCTGAAAGATACTGAATCCTTATTTTAGAGTAATTTTTAACACAATTAGATGATGAGTTGCAAGTAGGTTACTTTCAACGAGTTGGGGCAACCGAGCATTCCTACTGCAAGATCAACAATTCAATTTTTAGGAGAGTACTACTTTTAAAACGGTATTGCGTAACATCGAAGAATTAGAAGCATCAATTATTCGGGAAATTAAAAATATAACAGAATAACAACTGAAATCCGTACATGAAAATATGCACAGGAAAATTTGTGCATGGTTAGTAAAGGACACAATTTTGAACATAGGTATATAATGTCAATGTAAATATTTAATCAAATCTGTAACCTCTACAACCCTTCCACTGGGGTTTAGGATTTTTTCTTTGCTGACAGTGACAATCGTGCAATATTGGTTGCCTATGCCCAATGGTCACAGTGGTTTGTAATCATTTATGAAGGCTTTGTACATTCTTCTCTATAATATCTTATTAAAATAATAAAAGTGCTCTGGATGTCGGGGATATACCTGTTCAAGGCTGCTCTGTCCAAGGGAGTAATCCTCTAGATTATAGTCGCCTTTCTTTGCCCTCTCCAGAATACCAAACATCTGAGACAGAGGTATCGATAAATCTTTGATGTAATAAAAAAGCATTTCCTCATGCTTCTCTTTGAGAACGGCCGTGGAAAATTGTGATGTTACAAACATTTCTATGGACCCTAAATCACCAGAGGACAGAGCTTCAGTCGACTTCTTTAGCTTGATGATGAGTTGGTAGCCCTTCGCGAACTTGTTCTTCAGATGTTGGGATGAACCCAAACACTTGAACTGTCCATTCACCATGATGGCTAATCTGGTGCACAGAGCTTCGCATTCTTCCATGCTATGTGAAGTGAGAACCAAGCATTTGCCGCTGTCACGGACTTTACAAAGGGCATTCCACAAATTCCGCCTTGTCACGGGGTCTATTCCTAGAAAGTAAAATGAGAGATTTGTCATTATTAAAAGCTACAGTACCTTCAAAATTAGTTGTTTGCATCTACTTGCTCCCCTTTCGCTTTACCTGTCGTGGGTTCGTCAAAATAAAGCACAGTTGGATTTCCTATGATGGCGAGAGCTGTGCTCAATTTCTTCTTATTTCCTCCACTGAGCTTCTTCACTTGTTTCTTCAGGTGTGGTGTGAAGTCAAACTCTCTCGCCAATGTATCCGCTAAAGGTCTACAGGCGCTATATTTGATTCCTCTCAACAAAGCAAATATTACTATTGTTTCTTGAGCAGTCAGATCACCCAAAAGAGCATCAAATTGGGGACAGTATCCCATACACTTTTGGGCACTCTTTAACTGTCGTTTTATACTGTACCCATTTACAAAACCGTCACCATAAGTGATTCTTGTCTCTCCGGTCATCATCATGAACGTGGTGGTTTTGCCGGCACCGTTAACTCCTAGCAAGCCGAAGCATTCATTGTTTCGCACTCCCAAACACAAAGAGTTTACGGCCAATAACTTCTTATAGACTTTTGTGAGATCACGTAATATAAGAGTGTAGCTGAGAAGTTCCTCCCTATTAGCATGTTTGATAATGCTTCTCTCTTCTGCTACGTCGTTGTCTTCTTTCTTAAATGTTACTCCTTGCAGAGGGTGACGTTTATTCCCTTTTATGCAGTAAAATAACATCAAGAACAGTTTGGACTCGATCATTATGATGATCAAGAAGAAAGTTAACCCCGCCATACATAAGTAACATATATTTCTACCAATTCCTGGTGATTTCCACATGAAAACGCTGTTATCGACGTCTAGAATAAGAGATACAATAAAAATAATTACTTTATTTATAGTAGGATCATATTCGATGCAAAGTAATAAATCATTGCCTGTCAAGGGCTCCAGTGCCATACGCTTTTTAAGGGTTATAGAAATTAAATAATTTCTTTATACATTATGAAGGGACGAAGGGATCAGTTAACGTCTGGCACCCTTGTTCCTACAAAAATTCCTTTATTCTCATAAACTATTTATTTTAAATGTAACTTATTATAAATCCAATTTTTTTTTTAATTTCGACATATGTACTACATTTTACCTCTGTACGCGCCACTGTTGTTTACTTGTTTTTTGGAGGCACTCTCTGTTTTACGATCAAGCTTGCCAGGTTAGTATTTGACGTATAACTGACCACTTCGTACACTCGATGCACCTGGGCGACTACAGCGAGAACACAGTGCGTATGCAGCGGTATTTCAGATTTAACATTTAATTTCATTTTAAATTTGAAATGGTTCATCTTACGCCTCCTAAAAACGATTTTCCTTTGATAAAAGACCGGCAACTTTTTGCTCTACTTTGCATCGAATATGATCCTACTTTAGGAGAGACATGTTATTTGCTTGGAGTTATTATTATAACAGCCAAATAACACAAACTTATGTATATACGTATTTTTGTTGAATTCGCCTTTTGTATAATATAATCTATTATATGATGTTTTAATTACATTTTTGTTTGAAATCCTCTCTCTCTGATTGTTTTATATGTCATATTCTAAATTCAACTTTATTTTATGTACTATCTCAATTTCAAATGCCTCCTTCACTCCTATCGGTTGACTTCTGTCGAAACACATACTATTTTTCGTTTTACATTCTCCACAAACTTAATTTTGATATTTTATATAACTGGCCTTCCCCTTTATTATTTAGATTGCTAGGTTCATTTTATCACAATATATTCACAATCTAATCGTCTGTTTAGTTAATTATGGCTTAACCGAAAGCGAAAGTACTTGCATAAAATTTTATGTATGTCGACTAACTTACCTGAACAGTAATTTAGTAGTTCTGGATTACAGAAACCACTTACACACTGTTGACATATCCTCTTATAAGTTTGAAATTTATAGATTTCCTTCAGTCCATGCGTAACACAAAAATGAGGAATAATAAGAAAAATCCCCTGAAGAATTTCTCCTAACGACTTCATTGCAAGTGCTACAGATTGAATAATATTTGCGGTCATTAGTCCTACAAGAAAAAAAGGCAAAATTAAGGTAGAAATTATTATCATAATATACAATGTATGCTAAACTTGACACACTACCATTACATACTGATGTACACTGTACATAATTTGAAATTACTCAAAAATCATATACAGTTGTTTTTCAACACGGGTGTAAATATTGAGTGTACTATTTACAAAAAATTGGGTAATACTTTTTCACAAGTGGACATTATACAAGGTGTTTTTAAAATAGGGTTCCATACTTCTGTTGCGTTTGTAACTCATTAAAATAAGCCAAAAAGTTCCTATTAACATGTGCCCTAAAACGCACCCTTAGGAAGTTATATGCCCCGAAAAGGGCTCAAACAAAACTGTTTTTTTTTCTGTTACTGACAAAACGGTCTCAAATAAATAGAAAAATATTTATGGGACTTACATAACTTTTTACGTTAAATAACTTTAAACCATTTTTCGACATGCAAATCATATGCATCCCATTTAGGTTGGCGAAGGGGGTTTTCGGCCCGTGATTTTTTTATTTCAATTTTTTTACAATTTTCTCTACAGATTTATAATATATTAACAATTTTACGTAAAAAATATTATCTTTGTCTAAATCGATATTTCCAATGGTTTTCGAGTAAATTGAGTTTGAAAATTACTCTGCTCTTTAAGTTATTAGGCCAAAAATTACAAAAATCTATTTACTATGGCAAATAAAAGACTGACGTTGCCACAACGCTTAACAATTTAAGTTATTGATAAACTGTCAATTGAGCTTTGTAGTGTTTAATTTATTTATTAAATGATCGTATCCTTCATAACTGCAATTTATTTGAAAAAAAAAAAAACAGTTTTGTTTGAGCCCTTTTAAGGGCATATAACTTCCTAAGGGTGCGTTTTAGGGCACATGTTAATAGGAATTTTTTAGCTTATTTTAATGAGTTATAAACGCAGCAGAAGTTTGGAACCCTATTTTAGAAACACCCTGTATGTATTATATGTAGCCCCATGAATGAAATCTACCTTTTGTACACTCAGGTAAGCACTTTTACTGAATTTGTTGAGACGTTTGTAAGTGACGTTTACAAATTAGCGATCGGGATACGGTTGGTAATGTAATGTGGACTTTTAAAAATCATATTTATTAAAGACAAGATTAAAATTATAATTTGAACGATTATTAAAATTTATTGGGGCAATAGGATACGGGTTTAGAACAAGGTTCTCTTCTGATGACATTATAGTTGCTGCACATTTTGTAATAAAATAACTCTGCGATATTACTTTCTGTCATCGTAGAATTTCCTCTGGAATTTCCATGTAAAATCTTGTTTGAAAATTGATTTTTATTTTTCACGGAGTCTTCGATATATCCCTCAGCTACAGAGGGCGAACGCCACCCACCATGCCTTTTAGGGCCTAAAATATCTACTCCTTGGTTTGCCAGAACAGTGGCAGAACTCCTTCGGAATGCGTGTCCGGTATAAGTTGAGGGATTCGGTAATTTTAACCACTGTGCAATTTCATTGGGCCAACTTCCTATGGTACTATTTCTTCTCACTACGTGGTTTGTTAGATTTTCATCTCGCATTGCCAAGAATATGTGAGTTGACTTCGCCTCTTTTGGTCGAAGATTTTTTTTTGTTACTTCTCAATAAATATTTGGTCTCACAGTAACTAAAGCCAAAACTTTTTCAAGTACAACTTCTTTGCTTCACATATTTTAAAAATATTACATTTTTTAGTTTTAATGAAATCGTTTGAGCGTGCAATTAGACATTTTGGAAATCTCGACTTAGTCTCGATCTCCAAACATATCCTCAAACAGTAAAGAACACTCACCGTTTTTTGATAAACCCTTTAGTTCAAAACTGTAGTTCATATAACAAACTGATTTTTTTTTAAATCACCAATCGAAAGAAATGTGTCATATCCTTACCTATAATTAAATAAATTGCTGCCAAATTTATGTATCCTGATGTAGGATGTTGAAATAAGTTTGACAGTAAGTACGTAATGGGTAAGAATCCGAAGCCAAACACAACGAAGAGTGTAAATAAATGACCTGAAATAGAAAGAAATAAATCTTAAAATGATTACTCTAATGATGACGATAATAACCTTGGTTTTGACCCAGAAGTTAATCTTAGGGGTTAATTGGAGGTCAAGTTGAGAATTTCAAAGACGTATATCGGAACTTGGGCCTAGGGGCCCTCTGAAGGTCAAATCAGCACATTTTATGGCAAAGGTTGATTCATTTTTGTGAAAAATTCCGTACAAACTACCGCGGTCATGATTCAGGGTCTAATTGGGAGTCTGACCTTGAGCCGTGGGGTCAAATTTAGGAGCAAGTAAGCTTCAACTAATAACAGTGATTAATTAAATTACCAGCATTATTTTATTTAGCTGTAGTTTATTTTGAAATTTGGAAAAAATCGCTTAGTATAAAAAGAGTTATTTCAGAATATTCTGTTCATAAATTAATATAGCGTCAAATGAATTTGTGCCATAACTTTTCCGACTGAAACTACCCTTTATTTTTTAACCATAATTTTTCGAGCCATTTCGGTTTTCCCCTTTCGAAGGCAATACTGAGGTCGCCGTCGTTAGGTGGTTATTTAATATTGAATTAATTTTTTCATACCTAGTTGTGAAAAGGTTTTGAATCCTTCCACTTGAAAACAGGCAATGGTAGCCAACATAATAAAACAAATCAATGCGAATGTTAATAAGTCCCATATTAATGTGGCTAACCAGAATACCAGCACATTTGCTCCAGAAATCATCTGTTGGTGTTTGAACTTGGACACCCTTTCTCTTATTATAAAAATTATATAATACGTAGATATAAAAGCCAGGGAAACTCCTTGAATGTCTAATAGCATACCTGCGTTATCTTCACTAGTGAGACGAAGTGCCTGAAAATATTTGTTTCTTATTAATTTAATTCCTTAACATATTTACGACTAATTGTAAGTAAAATCATTTATAACTAATAAGTCGATGTAAAATACCATACGTCGGTATGAAAACGTTGAAACAAAATAGGTGTGTGTGAAAATCGCATGTCAATTTAAATCCATTTCTCTGGAGTCTGGAACAATACATTAATAACTGATTCTTTAGTAAATATCTAGATACCAACATTTTAAAAAAAATTGTATAAAAATTGGTCTCGTTAAACACCTTGGCCATTTCTGTGGTTATAAAATATTATAATTATGAAAGTATTGGTTTTATTATTTAAGTCTTACTTTTTTATCGAGGTCGTAAGGTATCGGATGATTTATGAACTGTATCGAACATTCTTTACAATCCAATGCTTTCTTGAATGCAGCGTTTAACACAAGTGCCAACGAGATTCCAGCAGAGTGATAGGCATCATTGAACCAAGCAGTTATGTGGTCCTTATTTCCTTCCTTGTCGAAAGTAGCTGCCACAATATAGTTTGCCCGAACTTGAAGAGGGGAATCCTTGATCTGAAAAGTTTTAATATGCTTTCTTTACAGTTTGATTTCAACGATTCAACTTCATAATATCAGATTTGATTTTTAATTTTATTTATATCTTTGCTTTGGTGTGAAATTTTCTTACATGTGTGTGTATAAATTATTCGGAAACATTTCTGGATATAAAGTCATAAAAACTGATTTTGGAGGTTTTCGAGAAAAAAAAAAAAATCGATTTATTGCATGGCGTAATCCTGTTTCAATAATTTGAAAAATAGCAGAAATTATGCACTCAGCTTTTTTTGTATCAAATTTATTAATATATTCCTATCGAATGGTCAGTGAATCAGGAACTGTACAGGCTGGTTCATTTTAGATGGGAATTCAGGGTATTTCAGAAACTACTAAAGATATGATAAATCTAACACCACGTTCTCAAGCTCGATTTTCATGGCAAACTCGACTGTCAAATCAGAAATTTGCTATCTTCATTTGTTTCTGAGTTACAGGGCGTTTCTCATTATTGTGACACTTTTAAATATGTCTGTTGTTGTTGTTGTTATCTCAGCTGTTAAATAAGGTAGAGTTAAAGAGAAAACTGCTCAAGACTAATTCTATGGCGTAGAATTGAATGCCGGTATTAGATTTTAGTAGATCTTAAGATTTCGGAGTTATGACCCAAAGTTATATTTTTTTAAATGGAAATCGCAGCTGACCATGGCCTAAAAAAATAGAGATTTTTTTCCGCTTTTCAGCAATATATCACATGCTATAGTTATTTTCACAAACACGGGAGATACGGGGTGTTTTATATATAAATTATATATTTTTTTCCTTTTTAATATGACCGGCTATGAAAATACAGATAAAACTATAATTCTTACTTTTACAAAAGTCATATCTGTTGTAAAAATATTTATTTTAAATGCACAACATATACTAGTGTGATAATATAATACTAACGAAATTTTAGGAGATAGGTGGATAGGAATAAACGGACCGATCAGATGGGTTACCTGATTTGAGTCCGTTCGACTTTTTCCTTTGGGGTTTTCTAAAAGACAATATATTTAAAATTACTTTTAATAATATTTCAAATATACCTACATTTAATTAATGCTACCCGAAGCGTTGCCAGAAGATGCATGAAATGTGTGACAGTTCAGGGACGGCAATTTAAACATTTAGCTATCATTTTTGAAAGTTTTTATTGATGTAGGTACTTACTATTGTTTAATTTACGTTTAATATTGTAACTTCATTTGAAGTGGAATAAAAATTTGAAAACTCTGTCTTTTCTTATCTGTAATATATATTTTAAATAAACGTCATATTTTTACAACAGATATGACTTTTGTAAAGTAAGAATTATAGTTTTGTATGTATTTCCATAGCCAGCCATATTAAAATGTAAAAAAGGATCGAATTTATATATAAAACACCCCGTATCTCCTGTGTTTGGAAAAATAACTATAGCATGTGGTATATTCCTGAAAAGCAAAAAAAAATCTCCATTTTTTTTAGGTCATAACCAGCTACGATTTCCATTTAAAAAATTATAACTTTGGGTCATAACTCCGGAATCTTAAGATCTACTAAAAATCTAATACCGGCATTCAATTCTACGCCAAAGAATTAGTCTTGAGCAGTTTTCACTTTAATTCTAACTTATTTAACAGCTGAGATGTGCCAATTTAATATTTCTGAAATGAAAATGATAAGCTACGTTGCAAATTTTTAGAAAATTCTCATGACGAAAATATGTGAAACCATTTTTGTTCTAAATCTTTATTGATGTTGTTCTATGTTCCAACACAGTATATTCACTATTTCACTATATTACACTTTTACTATAAAACTTACCAGGTCTAAAACTTTTCCCGATAATTTTTCTGTATTCTTATAGCTATAACTGTTCCTCTTCAAATAATCCAAATACGTTTCTAGATATATGGAATTTGATAAATCTTCCACCAATACGACCGGATTCTTAAAGGCTCTTAAATCCAAATGAGCCGGTGATAATACAGCGTCTTCTTTCCCAAAGCTCATGGCAGGTAAGGCGAATACAATTGCAATGATTATCTGGATCAGGAACAGGCGCCAAGACCGACATGTAGTCAGGTACCTCTTCATGAACATGGCTTGGAACTGGTTGCCCACGAGGTTTAAACCGCCAGTAAAATGGGGACGCGTTTGAGTGATCACTGAAATAGAAAAATAATATTTCAGTGAATTAAATATTGAGATCTTTTTTAACAAACGACAGTCCTATCTCGTACCATTTTTCATGTATAGAGTTATATTTTTTATTTTCGAAGTCATATTTGAGTCATATTCGAGATTCGGGTCCGAGATAGTAATATTTATCAATGACATACAATGGTTAAGGAAATGTGTTGATTATAGTACGAAAGGGTTTTTTTATAGTCTTATTCTTTAGTTCTTATCAATAATACAAAGATTATTTTTTTTCCTCAGTCTTCAGGAGTGTATCCCTCCGATGGATGGGCGAAAACCAAGTCCATCAGAAGTTAATTGTTGGTTTAAAAGAGATCGTGTTATATTGCATGTATGAATGACTGCCTTTTGCGCAATGGTGTAAATATTCTGATCTAAACTGATTTGAGAGAAAAAATAAGTATCTGTGAGTTCTGCTTCACAGTTTGGGCATAGTGGAGAAGTCCTGTGACCTCTTAGGAGATGTACTGATATCAGGTATGTCCTACTCTTCAGGGCTGAATAACTGGTTGTTCTCTTCTAGTTAATTTTAATGGAGATTGCCATTTTTGTAACATTGGGATAGATCTTAAGGTAAGTAGTTTCTCCATCGCTACACATATTTTGCCACTTCTAATTTCAGCATTCACATCTTTGTCTCCGATTGGAATTCCAAGATCTGTTTCGTTTTTGTTTGCTGCTGTCTGCTTTTTCATTTCGTGGAATTCCTACATGGGTTAGTGTAAAAATGAATGTGCTTCCTTATGTGAATGTGTCAATGATGGTAGTAGTGTGATCTACGTGTTATACGAATGGGTAGTCTTCCTGTAGGAGCCCGATTTTCGGGGTGGCCAAAAATAACGTCAAACTGTAGTCTCAACCCTCTACTGAAGACTATGCTAATTGGTGTTCTTCCAGTAGTTTCATGAACTACTGACAGATAGATTTATACAAAAAGAGTTTGATGTTCGTTAACGGTGATTCTTTAGGGTCGAACTAAATCTCTTCACCATGCCGTTTGTGTACGGATGGAGAGATGTTAAGAACAGTCTGAAAGTCTTCACTAAGTTTCTTTGTATCCTCTAAAATTAATAATCCTCAAAATCCCGTTTCTGCCACCAATTTCTATCAAAAACTGTTTTTATACAACAGCAAATAAATTTATTAGGATGTAGGGTTTGCAATCCCGCATTCCGCGTTACAGCATTCCAGCAATTTCCCGCATGTCAATGAGACCTGCGGAATTCCCGCATTTGTGCGGTAATTCCCGCGCGGGAAATTTTTGAATAGAACACGTCCATTTAGCGACATAGGGCATGGCGCGCGCGAGCGCCCCGTTTGGTTTGCGTGCGCATCCCGTTCCCCTGTGATAGCATCGATCAATCGAGTGAATGATTAAAATCGGCAGATCTTTGCATCATTCAAACAAATTCCTTGATTCGTTTGTTTATTTTCGAGAAAAAAAGTGTTTACAAAGTAAAATTTTATATATAACTAATAGTTTTGTCTTCTTGTATGTTACTTTAATTATACTATACTGCCCTACTTCGGAAAAAGACCGTATATGCAGTTTTGTGACAAATTGAGAAAATTACATTTTTGAAATCAATATCACATTATACATTACCCATCTATAAATATCAAAAAGTATCGTTTTTGTTTCTTTAAATTTAAAATTTGGTACATTTTAAATTTCTATTATTGTCACTTAGCAGACTTATGTACATGTATTTCATTAAGAGGTACATAGTATAAACGCCGTATGTGACCACATACGGCTTTCTTCTCTAGCAGAAGCGTTGAAATACGATGTTTTAAACAAATTAAATTCGTATGTGTTTACATGCGTTGTTTTAAATTAAACAACAATTAAATATTATTTGCAACACAATATATTAAAAATTAGTAAAAAACTCTGTAAGAACATCCAAAATATCAAGTATAGGATGTACATGTTTTGGTTCTTCTATTAATTTCTGTTGAAAATGTAGCACATACGGCATTTTTACCTAGCAAAATCTTAAATTTATTAAGACAAAACAACATTTTCGACGCCGTTTTTATTGAAATTGCAATGTTTTCTAACATTCTTCAAATACATTAAAAAATATTTGTTTTCCGTTTGCCGTTACCGTTACCGAAAAATCAAGTTATTACCTTAATTAGTAAATGAATGACAGCCAAATGAAGTATGCCTAATATCTCTTTGCAATTTTCTCTAAACTGTCATATTCCGAAATATATTATCGATGTATCTAGCAAATATTTTTTTAGAAATTGTTACTAAACGATTAAATTACTAACCTAACCTAGATGTTTATAAATTTAGTAATTTAACAGCACCAAGTACGTTAAGTAACTAGAGACATAATAATATCTATGTAAAAATAACAAAAGTATTATATTATTGATGTGTTGATTTCTGTTGATTCTTAGTGAATAAACATAGTTGTTAATCTATATAATGCTTATCTGTTGATTTTTAAATACCAAGAATTATTTATATTTCATTTGATTAAATATAAACATTTCACAATAATAGCATTATTATTTTCATATATAAATATATTTTTAAATCTCTCACGAGAATTACAGCGGGATCCCGCTGTAAAGGCGAATTTACCGCAAATTTCCAGCTGGAAAAAAAAACTGCGGGATTGCAAACCCTATTAGGATGTGATATAAACCAGTTTTAAACTGCCAAACCTATAAAAAAAATCACTTACAGTATTGAAAACGGAGAAAAAAATGGTGTTATAAAGCCAAATCTTTGAATGAACTCCTTTTAGTCTATAAAACCTATTTTTGGTGTAACTGATTATTTGATTAATTTTTAAATTTTCTCACAACAAGCAAAATGCACAAACAGGAAGAAAACTCTTTATTACTATTAAAGCTAGACTGTTTAATACGTTATTAATAGGTAATAATAGCTGAAAGATTAAAACCTTTCAAAGAGAGAAATTGAGATACAAAAATTTGCTTACATCTTCTATCTTTGTTCAGATTCTGTCTACTACTTTCTGATTTTATTACTGCTTCCTTTCCAACCCTAAAAAATCAACTATTATTCAATTCACTCCTTGTAATATTATTTTCGAAAATATATTCCTTTTATAAAGAAGAAATATTATGTTTCTTAAGTTAATTTGTACTCTTCTTACAAGTATCCTGAATTTAAAACTCCATATAATAGTATTGAAGCTGAAATTCAGCTGTAACCTCCAAATTCTTTTAAACTGCATGGATTTGCATGAAAATTTAGAATAAGGCTCATCTTAGACTCAAGTTCAAAAGTCGATTGACGCTTTTTGTTTTTTAAGGGTAAAGACTACCCCTAAGTGAAAAAAATTGAAAAAATTAAGTTTTAAGCATTTTATTGAAAAAAATCTTGTTCAAGCACAAAGATTAAATAATGTTCCATGTTCTCGAACATATTTTATGATATATTTGATCTTTTCGACCCTTTATTTAACCCTTAAAAACTACCCTTATGCAAAAAATAATGATAAAAAATTACTTTTTAAAGATTTGGAATGATTAAATTGTGCTATTATTTAAAATAAAAGTTACCTTATAGCTAATAAAGGAATGTTTCCCTTTCAACCCCAAAAAACTACCCCTGTATTGACAAAAATTATAAAAAAATTACTTTTTAAAAGCTCGGAATGCTTTAACGGTGCAATTATTTAAAATAAAAATATCCTCATTGCTTATGAAAGAGTATCTCATAACACTTTTCAACCCTTATAAATCACCCCTGTGCTAAAAAATTATAAAAAATTACTGTCTAAATCTTGGAATGCTATAATTGTGCAATAATTTAAAATAAAAATTCCCTTATATTGTTTATGAAAGAATATTTTACTTTTGCCAGTTTCAACTCTTATAAACTACCCTTTTACCAATATTAATGTAAAATATTTTTATTATAATCGATTTTTAAATATAATTAATCATAAAATAATTGCTACGCTGCATATACACACTATTTTTTTTTCAAATGTCATTGGTTTTTTTACCATAACTCGGTTAATTTTGAAGCTATAGTATCTTACAAAAAAGCATTTTGAAGATAATTTCAAAAGCTGTAAGATCGTTTGCATATAAAACCTTTTAAATCCTTCGTTGTTTAAAGGGAAAGGATCGAAGGGCTCGAGACAGGTCGTTTTTTCACTAAAATGGATATACTTCAAACGGCGATATCTCCTTTATTTTTTATGCTATAGGAATAAAAAAAGCAAAATAATATTTGTTGAAAAAAAGCTAAATTTTTGTTATCTATCATTTTTTACGTATCTTTCATAGTTTCATAGTTATTATATACATAAGGCAATTTTTTTTGAATAATGAAAAATACGTTTTCAACTTTTACCGTACATTATTAAAAAAAATACACATTCTAAACCGGTCTAACTTCAGGATCATATGAAAAACACCAAAACAAAACTAATTGTAAAGAGTCTACGATGAATTTTAATTCTGATGGAAATGGAACATTTACTGCTCATTTTTCCTTAAGAAATATGAGCAACCCATCTGTTTTTGACGATAACTCCTTAAATTTTGCTCTAATTAACTTTTATAAGTGCTTATTTTGAAGGTCTCTTTGAGTACTACAAAAAACTCCTGGATGCTGAATACATCTATTCGAGTATTCCCCCCAAAACAAGTCCCCTTCCACTAACCATATTTCGTTTTGTATAGGACGTACGACACTTGCTACATTTTTGTGGATTACACTTTTCTAAATAAAATAAAATATTTGAGTTATTCCCGAAAAAAACTTTGAAAAAGTTTTCAATCGTGAATAACTAAAAAACTATTGATTTCTCGAATTTCTCTATCGACTTTTGAAACAAATTTCCACCCCCGAGAAGGTGTGTCAACCCCCAACAGGGTGGAAGCGTCAATCGGCGTTATGTCAGTAATGTTCATTGACCTTTTCTCTAACTATCTGCCAAATTTCAAGTCGATCTGTTCAGTTTCAAAGAATTCGGAGGTGAATAGCTTCTATGACTATAACTAATGTAATTATCGTCTTCGAAATACTCACTTCATGAATACGTCCTCCATTGTAGTCAAGGAAATACCATAACCCAGGATTCCCAATCTTTTTGAATTATTTTCCAAATCTTTTAGCATGGATTCGAATTGGGAACTGTAGTTTTGCTCTAAAATATATGATAGTTCGGAACCTGCGTTGCTTCGAACCTACAATAAAACAACTAAATATGTACCATTTTTTCACTAAAGAAAATATATTTTGCGAGATGCTATCGCCAGGCGCTGCAATGGCTAGACAACTGGCATTCAGGAACAAAGTACACACATAGTTTAGAGATCTGGACACGGATACGAGAAATCTACGGAAGTTCATGAGAGACAATAAAAACACACAAGTCGAAGTAAAGGAAAATATAAGGTGGTTCAGCGGTATTGTTAGCTGCTTAATGGGGAATGAGCTTCAGAAGGTTATTTACGATCTAGAAGTGCCTATTGGTGTAATGTCACAGATTCAGCCACGTTTAGAGAAGGCATTAAAATTCAGGAGTAAACGCTAAGAAACGAAGTGATGGAAATAAATGAGAAAATTGCGAGACTGGAAAATCCTTTGAATTTTGTTGGAGTAAAAGTAGGTCTGGTAGGTAAAAGGTAGAAACAAGAATGTATTAGTAAGTTTGAAATAGTGAAGAGAAGGAAACTAGGACACTTCAAGCCGACTGTTACGGGATGTAAAAACACACAGAAGACAAAAACTGGACCACAAGAAAGAAAAGAAAGGAAAACTTAAAACAAAACGGAAAATGCAATGCTGGAAAAGTCCGTTACCAAGCTGCTTTCAAGAGGTACAATCAATGCAGAGAGTTATATAATAGATGAACAGATTAAATATTTGCATTTAGTATTCGTAGCCAGTGCACAGGAGGAGGAAGACATGTTGAATTCCTTGATGGAAATCAGAGACATAAATTTGGAAAAAATGATCTTCTCTAGATACTACAACGAATTTTGGAAGCAAGAATAATGATAGAAATCATTTTTGCGATAGAAACACTTACAAAAGGGAGAAGAAGGAGCACAAGAGGCTTTCAAAATTCTGGACAAAGAAGGGGATATTTTGACACCTGTGGAAGGTACTACGTATGCAAATTTAGTTATCTACATTATTAGTTTTGTTCTGAAGGCAACAAATCAATAAATACAGAATACCTCTATGTTCGGTACATATTTCCCCAACAATGCTGTAACTTGGGCTGGATCGCAATCCCGAGATTTGTCTATGATGAGGCTATAGCCCGCTCCGAATTTCTTTTTCAGGAAAAAACTGGATCCGCAACACTGTAATTTTCCTGCCGCCATAATGGCTATCCTATCACCCAAGAGATCTGCCTCGTCCATAAAATGAGTGGTCAGTAACATTGCGCGTCCTAAAATAAACAGTTTTTTTTTTATTAGGTATAGATATTACATATTACAGCATAAAAATGTAATTTAATATTGAAATTATAGCATAAAATAATGCGCTCATGAATGTATATGGCTGTTGTATAACTCGCCCAAATAGCATGAAAACGACAAAATTGTTATATTGCTGGTCCTTTATTAGCTAGTATGTGTGTTTTGTATGTGGTCTCTTGAATGTTGACAAGGGGTAGAATATGCTCTGGCCTCTCTTCACCATGTTACGTAAGCACCAATTTTGATATTAAAATTTGTATATACCTTCCATAAACTTTCCCATTCGAAAGACTAAAAACTCTTTGGTACTCGTCCTGTTTTTATTGTGTGCAATAGTTGCCTAAGAAATATTATAGACGTCAATAAGGGGACCTTCCTTGGAAAAATTAACAGCATTTCGTTAAATGAAATAGATTTAAAGTTGCCAACAGTTTAAATTCCAGTCTAGAATATTAGAATAGACGCAAAGTAAACAAGTATGCTATCTGTTATGAAACATGCGTTGATCAACAACGTGAAAATCAGTACAAACTAATTTAAAATGATGTAGTCAAAAATCAAACACAATGTAAATACTAGTGAGAAATACTATTAGTCCTTTATAAAAAGTAAATTTGCAACTATTAACCTATTTTCTCTCGTTTTGCTTTATGCAGGTATGCATATGAACAAAAAACTAACCTTCTTTTTCACTCAACAACAGATTCCACACGGCTCTTCTAGCTGAAGGATCCATACCAGCCGTGGGTTCGTCCAACATCAATACCTTTGAGTTGCCACAAAGTGCTATTGCGATGCACAACTTGCGCTTCATCCCACCTGACAGTGATGAAACTCGGGATTTTCTCTAAAACGTGAAATCTCAATTTTAAAGTTGATGTGTCGTTCTAAACAAATCTGTTACCTTAGGTTCCAACTCCAATCGACTAATGTACTTGTTGATTTCCGCTTTAATTTCATCTTTACTAAGGCCCTTCAGTTTACTAAAGAAGTACAAATGTTCCTCTACAGTCAATTCGTCAAAGATGAGGTCGTGCTGTGGACAAAGACCCAAACTTTGTCTTACGCCATCTATTTCTGTTCGGATATCGAACCCATTGACTTTTGCAGTGCCGCTAGTGGGCGTTATCATGCCGCTCAACATGGACATGGTGGTCGTTTTGCCAGCACCGTTGTGTCCCAGCAAGACTGTTATTTGATTCTCATACATATTTAAAGACAAATCTTCAACGGCTGCCTTCTTGCGAAACACCTTTCTGAGGTTTGTGATTTGTATTCCGACTGCCAAGTTTTGTGGTTCAGATTCGAAAAATTCTCCGGTGTTGGCACGGTTCCTAACTAAGCTCACATCTGAATCCTCTAAAAAGTTAATATCACTTGAAGTCGCTTCTTTAAAATATTAAATTTTTCGGGTGAGATGAACTCACCATTATCTTGAAAATTAATTTTAATTTAAATTATGTGAGATAAGACCACTAGGTCACATTTAGTTTACTTCAAATAATGTATTTAAAAAACCAAATCATTTTTAAATATTTTCTTAAATTTTTACTATCTACAACATGAAGTTATATATAGTGTGATTTTAAAAGTTGGGACATGAACAGGTTATGTTTTGGGCGGTTATGAATTCAATGTTACTTGTTGGTAAAACGATTTTCTATTGTTTTAATCACTTCGAGGTTTGGACGAGGTATGAGTTTTGTACCAATAGTGCATTGTTATATTTAGCACAGTTTTAGAATCTCTCACTTTTGACCAGCTGATAGCCGCGTTGGATCTGCTGTGTGTCGGTAAAGGTCGTAGCACAGGTCGTAGTATATACTTACGTTTGTGAAGGTGCCAATAACTACACGTACACAAGAAATACCATGGCTTGGGCACCCCGTAGTCCCCAGGAAAGACCGCCTCCACATATATGGCAATAAAGAAATAAATGAATGTATCAACAGTGAGCATTATCATCATCAGTCCCACTGATAACGATTCAGATGGTCTGTACGGCGGAAATACTGTCGCCCAATGAATACCTGAAAACCATCTCTATGTAACAGTGCTTTGACCAAATTTGCTGTTATGGAACACTTTTGACCATCTGTAGCATTCCCACTACTAACGGAGAGCATTTGTGCATTTTTACCTTACAAAGCTAATAATAAAACTATAGAAGTTGTTACTTAATTCCACTGCCAGAAAATACTTTTTCGTGGTGAAATTTGGACAGCATGTATTTCGCAAGAATTTCACTGTGGAGTTAAATGTTTGTCCCCGAGAAATCATCATTACCTTTACAATTTTCCATTTTTCTATATTCTTTTGGCACGTTATTCAATTTTTTGTGCTTATGAAACACCATTGAAAAACATAAAAGAGCTCTGTTCGTTCAGCATAAAATTCATTACGGGATAACAAGGGAAAGAAAATCATGATGATTTCATGGAATTGTTCACGGCGAAATTCTCTGTAAAAAGTAGCCATAATGTTTCACAGATTTCAAGAGATTGTGAAAATAAAAAAAAAATATTTCTAATTGTGCAGCTAATGGCTTCTACCAGATGGCAGATGGTCAAACTCTAATACCACTGACTCACTTATCTGTACTGAATTTCATGTTATATATCATCATTAAAATTAATTAGAATTTAAACAAAATTATCTGCCCTTATCTTAAAGACATAAGGCGACTGTTGATCCATAAAGAATGTAGTATGATTATTTGATATTCTATCGTCCCTTAATTTTTATACTCATTTCAGAATTTTTTTCCACATTTTTATATTGACGTTTTTTAGAAAGTTCCGGATTATATTCGATTTGGTTCCAGAAGCGTTATTGAGATGTACCCATGAGAAATTATGTATAAAACGTGATACCTCTATATTTTTTCTATTCTTTTATGTAACAAAAATTATAAGAACCAATGATAAAATTTATTACTTTTATCACACTTTAATCAACCTTTGAATTAACAATGAAATTCTGCATTGCATTTTTAATCATCTTTTCGATTCAAGTCAATTTAACAGCTAGATCTAATATTTTCGGACTTACAAACCATAATTTTGTTTTCATAAACTATAATTATATTTAGGCCTGACTTACCTCGTCCAATTCCTTCGTAAAATAGTACAATTTCCATTGCAAAACCAAATGCACTCAAGGGAAATAAACTGATTAACAGTTTAGGTAGTAGAGTTAAGTGTTTAGATTTTGTCATAGCAATTATTATGTAAGGTAAGAAGGAAGCTAAGAAAATTAATTCACCTAGGACTGCAGCAGTGTTAGCTAGAAAGGAAAGACACCATAGAATAGAATAAATTTGTTTTTGAATTCATATCTTACCTTTATTAAACATGACGCTGATGGCGAAACTGAATGTGATACATGAGGAAATAAAAATTATGTAAAGTAATAGTAATATTATTATATTCGAGTTCTGAAAAATTGCGGTACTGGAGAACCTACCTACTCTCAGTATTAATATCACTAATATCGCTATCAAGAGAAGAAATATGAAACATTTTACATACCAAGCAGCCCAATGTAGCCAATTGGGTAGGCCCATTATTTTCATTGATTCCTAGAAAATGTTAACGTTGAATGAATACAAATACTTATTAATCATAACGGTAGTTTTGAAATGAAACATATTTTCAGTAATAGCATCACAAGAAAGTGAGAATATACAAGGTGTTTTGCATAAGAATCGGCACAAAGCAGGCGCACGTATGTGGAACCCAAAATATGGTGACAACGCAACTTACCTTTATACTAAGCTGCACCCCTGGCCTAGAACTTATAGGCCTTGAAAGTGGGGTATCAAATTTCGAAAAAAATCAATATCTCAGTTATACTTTTGAATTTTCGATGATTTTAAATAAGACATCTGGAATACGTATTATTAGTTGTTTGTGTTTTTTTGAAAACTAACAAGAGTAAGAAAAGTTTTAGTATTAAATTCTCTATAAAGTTAAGTAATAATTTTTTAAGTCCGCCAATGGGTTAAAAATTTCTATCACATTTTAATGGTACATCATCTCTTATGCGAAACACCCTGTATTTTAAAAAACAAATACATCATATTCTATTATTCGCTCTCGCAACTTTTACTCTATTCTAAACTAGTTCAAAGAAATTAAATAATTTTGTCAAATGAAGTCAAACAATGTTCAGTACCAGAAGGTATGAAAAAAGATATCTAATCCACAGATAAGCTTTCTAACTACTGATATTGTGGGAATCAATTACTCGATGGGATAATTTTACAAAAAAAAAACTAAAATTGATACATCTAAATACAGTTGATATTATCAGTTGACATTAATTGCTTATTATTATTATCATTATCGTTATCGTTGTCATTCACGATGTCCTTATCATTATCATTACTTGTCTAATACTATGATGTATTGATACTTGCTTTCTTATAACTTACTTTAAGTTGTTTTTCTTTTTCGAGGGTGATTGATTTAATTATATTAAAAAAGGGTTGAGTAAGACACAACGCTAACATGAAGGTTATTAAGTGTGAATACAATCCTATAAAATCCTCCACCCAATCTGGATGCGGATACCGCCTCATGCTTATTAACGGAAATTTATTTTTGCTCAAAAGTTCTTTGGGATCAGTCTTTTCCTTAGCGGATATTATGGCGATTGCAAGAAAGTGCTGAATGGCCAAAAATCCCTCGTCATGGTAGTCTGAAAATACATATCAGATGAAAGTAAATCAGAATGTTGAAAAATATGAAAGAAAAATTTAAAGATTACAGTAGGTACTTATCAAACTATGAAACAAGTAGCAGATTCCTATTTAAAATATATATTCATTTAAGTGATTTTAGTCCTTAAATGATTCGGTTAGTTGTAAATTATAGGTTAGTCTTTTTGTAAATGACATTTCATTATACAGGAGTTGTAAATTATAGGTTAGTCTTTTTGTAAATGACATTTCATTATATAGGAGTTGTAAATTATAGGTTAGTCTTTTTGTAAATGACATTTCATTATACAGGGTGTTCCCTTTTTAAATGAATTAACTTTAACAGTTGATAGAGAAAAAAATTTACAAGATACATATTTTGAATATATTCAGGATGAATCAGCAAGTAGTTCTGGAATCAGAAAATTAGGAAGCCCTAGATATATGTACTCAAATCGCTCAGGTTAGACACGGACTATCTTTGTTTTAATTGAATTCGTAAAATAATTTTTTTTCCGTGCTGTTTTTTACTTTGTGTTCAAATTTGGTTAAAGACCAATAAAATCTTGTTTTTTAAGTTACAAAAAATGTATTTCTTTGTATTTAGTCGAGAAAAGTTATAAGAAATATTATTTTAAATAAAATATTACATTTATTTAAATTTTGTTAATTTGTACTTGAACAAAATGAAATTTTAGAAACTTACGTAGGTACATAATATGTTTTATTAAGTACGTTGTTTTCTTATTCATTAAAATATACTTGAATGCAATTTTTACAATTTCTAGCTTCGGAAAAAAATGAAAAAACCAGTGTATTCCCAATTTTCCCTTATTTTTGAAATGTAAGACCTAGTATCTATACTGTAAGAGAAATTGGACTTATTTTCACTCAGTTTCACTCAATAATGTATTAATTTGTGTCCATACAAATATTACAAAATGTGTAAAACTATCAAAATGCTTAATATTAACTGAAAATGTATTCAATAATTTCACTCAATGGATTCAGTTAGGACCTTTTTGCTTTCACTCAGACCGATTTATTTACAGTGTGCAAACTATACAATTTATGAATTAAACATATTTCATTACATTATTTGCCTACAATTTAAATTTTGTACTGTATTATTAATTTACTTTGTCATTAAAACTAGATTTATTTTTCAAAAATTAAATATTTAAATTATACAATTATGTGTTAAAATATACAAGCTAGTTTCAAAGTTACAATCCAAAACTTAAATTTCTAGGTACCTCTTTGGAGTCCCATATCTCATTTAGGAGCAAAAATATAGAAAACAATTATAAGGAGCATTGGTGTTATTTTGTTCCCACCTATTGATTTCGGGAAATTATTAGGTACATACCGGACACCCTGTACATAAAATTTTCCAAAGGATGTTTGCAGACGATATCTAGCAATTGTTACCGATATTGGTTGGGTTTATTAACTATAATGTGGTTATTAATAACAACGGATTCTTACTTGGAGTACCGCCAGTAGTGATTTCAAACAATCGAGGTCCTTGTGGCTCAATATTGGGAAAAACTAAATTTGTTGCCCAGTTTGTCTCTACAGAAGTTGGATTTGTTCTATTATATGTTCTTCTGAGATCAGAGGGAAACCTTAAACGGAATTTCTATCGTTCATTAGATACCTACATTTGTTACAAATATCAAGGATATATGGCAAATTTAACATGTAAACGTAAGACATTTTAATAAAACATGGCAAAAGCTGTACAAATTGCACATTTTTGTAATGTGTCTGCCTTGAAGTTAGATAGGAATGGCCATTATAAGAAGATGCCGTGTACATTTTCTTCTAAAAACATACTCATGTATTTAAATATTTCCTATCCATTTCATAAAATTACAGTTTACGTTTTCTGTGTAACACCGCGTAGTTACAGTGTAGTCAGCGATCGCAAAAAGTTAAATTAAAATTTGAAATTTGGCTTTTGGTTTCTAATGCCTTTGTCAAAAACATATTAATTATATGTTCTACGCAGTATTCGAGGAGAAATTTGGAACCAACTTCTCTGTGAACCATGTTGTCGTGGTTATCTCCAGATTTGGACCCAGATTTAAAAATTAATGGACAGTTAGGGATAAAACTCATTTCACTACCGGCACCGGCCTTAAGATATGGTTGATAGCACGCTATTAGGTCTGTCCAAATGTTGGAACTAGTATGGCCAGCGTAAATGCAAATTTCATCTAAAAGAACAACTGGCCAACCTTGGCTTCTATAATACTTAATTTTGTCCAGATAATTCAACCTTACAGCACGAATAATCAGTCTTCTCTATTAGCACCTTCCGACTGTTCTTAGTTTTCCTTCACTCGAATCCAAGTTTTTTAACAATGGTATTCAGGGAGATATGTTTTCCCGAAAAAATGTATTTTTCACTTAAATTTTCTTGTCAGACTAAATCGACATCCTTCCATTTTATGAAAATTATAAATCGTGTTTCTTTTATCCATTTTTTTCTCATTATGGTATGTTGGTTTTTGTACAAATTCTTTTGCGATTTTTATAAAAACTAAATTTTACTCCCCCATTACCATTGTTTAGAACTTGTATCTCGATTTTTTTCATTCTAATTTTATATACAGAATGATAATCAAAAGTAAAGAGTCATTGACGTAGAAATTCTTAATTATTCCAAATGTAAAAAAAGCTTTCTCTATCAATTAATTATCTGCTGGTGTTATACCTTCGTAATTACTCGAAAATGCCTTACTTTTCGAATAAAGTACAAAACACTCATTTTTCTTAGAAATAACATTTACAAAATAAATTCACTCATTCAATTTTCATTTTGTTGCATTCACTTTCTTTAGCTCAAATCTTGAAAGTGTTTCATCCGTATGCACAGTCGATCGCCAGCGACTCGCCGAAGTTATACTTGGCGAATCTCTGGCGAGTCGCTGGCGAAAGAACGGCGCGTAGTTTCTATTGCATAGACGTTCGCCCGGTGATCTGCGCTTGGGCGAATCGCCAGATGAGTGATAGTCTCAACTACAGGCGCTTAAGCATGCGCAATGCTATTTTACACCGAATACGTACTGTTCTAACCTGGGTTTGTGCATAGTATGGTACTTTGAAATGTATTACTTTGAGCATCTCTGGTATATAGTTGTTTGTATCACATAAATTATTGTCAAAGCATATTATCTAAAGGGTTGTAGCGGTAGTAAAAGACTAAATAAAATTTTCCTTTTCGGCGTTAATAGCAGTTGTTAATATAGTAAGCTGTTGTTATTATATTGTTATTATAAAATGTCTCAAGTAATTTGTTTATTAGGGTGCACTAGGAATCGGAAAGCCATATTTATGAAATATTTAAGTAATTTTTTTATTAGGGTATAGAGTAGTTTTTTCAATTACATGATTAACAGTGATCACACACAAATAATTATAATAGGTACATCAACGTACATCTTGTTTAAAATATTTCAAAGTACAATCTGTTTTACTTTACAATTTACAACAACGATTACAATTTCAATATATAGCGTGACACACAAACGGTGACCAAAAATGAAACCTAATATTCTTTGGTGAATTTTAAGGGGAGTCTTTCGTTTTTATCTAGGACGCTTCGTTAAAAAGATACAGGGTGTTAAAATATTTTAAAGTTTTTTAAATAATATAAAAACTAGTAACTAAAATAATTTAAAATTGGGCACGTGTATTTATGTAAATTTAGATGCTCCAGTATGCCAGTACTTATGGTAAAAATCATGATATATTCGGATTCGTCTTTCAATTTTCTACAAATTACTACATTCTCATGTTTTTCGAAGAAAGCCTGATTTTCGAGTAAAACTTAAAAAACGAACTGAAAACAGTTTTACTTAAATAACATGCAAACACTAATCATTCGGTTATTAAATGGAATAAAGAAATTAATCATGATTTTAATGATTTTATTTGAGTAAATGCACAAAAATACATCCATTTCCACGAACACATGCGTGACATCTTTTTAGTAACGAAAATGTAATTTGTTCGAAATTTATTGTTGCTTGAATATGATTTAAAGCAATATTTATTCTTTTTTCGAACTGCTCAGAATTTCAAAGTTGTTATTGCAGCCCATTATGTAATTTTAAACCGAATTTAATTCGAATATCGAAGTGTGTTTTCAGTTGGATTTTTAAGTTTTACTCGAAAATCAGACTTTTTTTCGAAAAACATAAGAGTAGTAATTAGTAGAGAATTGAAAGATGAATTCGATGAATATCATGATTGATTATCATAAAGCAGTGGCGTACTATTTAATTTAGAAAAATATGCCACCGATACCCTGTATCTTCGGCACTAGAGCATTTAAATTTTCGGAAAAAGCCTCCGATTTTGGACAATGTTTACATAAATACATGTGCTCAATTTCAAATTATATCAGTTACAACTTTTTAAATTATTTAAAAAAATTTAAAATATTTTTATTAAGTTTAACACCCTGTATCTTTTAAACGAAGCGTCCTAAATAAAAACTTTATACGATAGACTTCCTTTAAAATTCACCAAAGAACACTAGTTTTCATTTTTGGTCACCGTTTGTGAATCACCCTGTATAGGTGTGTATATCTAAATCAGAAATATCTCTGTTTGCGTTATACAACATGTTAAGATCCATTATTGGAACAATCTCAAAAACACAATAAAAATAGGTTACTTGCTTTCTGGAGAAACGCTGGAGATGCTACAGGCAATCTCCGGCGATTCTCCGGCGGTTCGCCATAAGTTTCACTAATGCGCATGCTTGACTTGGCTGGCGAACGACTGTGCATTGAAAATCTCGTCCGGCGAACGGCGAATCTCTGGCGATCGACTATGCATACGGGCCTTTGTTTGCCTTACCTTATAGAAACTTCAAAATTTTTGATGTTAGAAACATCTGTGCGACTTTTAAAACTGTCGTCGAATTGGATCGCTGCAAAGGCAGAGAAAACTTCTTCGCTTTTAAAAAATGTTTCTAATGCTT